GAGGGAAAAAGACCCAAGTGCCATCAGTATGTGTGGCACGTGTTGTGAGCTGCCTTTGGAGTGAAAAACTTGTCAGCGCCTTCTAGGTTCAGCCTGGTCCCATAGCTCAGAAGAATATAATTATTGATAATATGCCTCGAGGGGGGGGGGGGGGGGAGGAGTAGTCACGACACTCAGAGCTTCAAAACTTGCTTCCTACTCCTGGCGAGTTTTTGACATGATGCCAAGAAAAGTACCTTTTTGCATGATACGTTCACACTATCACGCAGTATTCTTATCTGTACATGGAAGCACCAATACCCGACCAACCATAACCAAAACAAACAATACCCGACCCAAGATAAACAGAACAAACATGAAATACTAGAAACACTCATCAAGCCTCTTTTTGCCCTTTGATCTCTGTTGTTAGTTTGTCTACGGCCTACAGATCCAGCTTATGGGTCTTACAGCAACGGTGTATTCTACCAACAAGAATTTCTGAATACGCTGACTTTGACATGTAAACAGGGATATGGAGTTCATGGTAACCCGAAGGTGACTTGCATCACAGCACCTTTCACTACTAGCCCACTACCTACATGCGGTAAGCTTTCTTGTGTGGTTTTCAGATTGCAAAATCAGTGTTACAACAGTATCCCGTGAGCTTGTTCCCAGCAACTGACTGATTTGGGTGCATGTGTGTTAATTTCATTGTTTGTGAAAAATACATATTACAATCGGACGTGCTTCAAATAGACCACATCGGCATTCCATTTGTAACCATCCGCCTCGGTGTGGATAGAGCTAAATCATATTCACTGATGAGACCTTAGTGGTCGAAACAGCGTTGAAAATCGGCTTTCGGTATGAACGTCCATTCAAACAGAACTTCGCCCTGAGGAGTGTATAATCAGTTTAAACGCTAGTATGAACATTGATGAAGCAATTCCACCTCCTCCATATGCGCTCTCTGGCCGACAATGACATCAGCAACATGACTCCAAGTTGTATATACTGCCAGATATAATTTCCTCCAGGCAGCATTGTTTGAATCACTAAGGTCTGATCAGTCGAGATTGAGAATAAAGAATGGCTAGCATTAATTTGAAGTCACATATTTATACATAGAATGAAGCGAAGAATTGTGATCCCGCGCTTGGAGATACGAGACGGGCTAAGACGGGCTAGGTGCTTACACATGGTGCAAAATGACACTCCTACATGCCATTAGTGTACTGCGGGCATCATTGATACTTACGCAACAGATTCTAGCACTCTGAGATACAACAATGTAGCATACTGAAACAAACGGGGAGACAGTTCAGACTTTTGCGCTCCAACACAGTACTGCAAGTACGCAAGACGCCCCTGGGGCATTTTCTCCGTCAACTCACTCACCACCATACAGAACTGTGAGCGCATGATCGGGCGAAAAATCTGCTGTTGTCTCCATTGTATAATTACGGTTCTCATATGGTGTCACCCTTTGAGTACATAAAACACCAGTATGTAAACTGAGAAGAAGTAGCGACGACCCGGCCGATATGGAATCCAATACACCACACCACCACATTGCACTCTTGGCCGATCCAAACTCTGCACTTAAATTGATATCAACAATAGGGAGGTTCCGGAGTACGATTTTTCGTGCCAAAATCCGTGGAGGCGCTACGGATTTTTTATACGTCGTTTTCGAGCAGTGAAAAGTTCCGGGGCACGGAACTTATGTGTTTGCCGTCATTGCCTAGGTTACGATCGCAAACACGTCACATTCCCGCGCTATGCCTTTTTATTTTGAAAATTAGTACCGAAATCAAAACTTCCCGCGAAAAATCGATGTTTCTCGTACCAAATTTGTACGCGAAAAATCTTTCTGCACCCGATGACGCAAAATCTCCATACGAAACATGGTTCGTATGAAAGCCAGTCCACACGGATTCTCCGTGCCGAAAAATCGTATGGAGCACGCCTGGAAAAAATCCGTACCGCCCATACGGATTTTGGCACGGAAAATCGTACCCCGGAACCTCTCTATTGACCCTCTAGACAGCTGTTTTGCTCCTCCTGAGCTCATGAGTGGAGGCATGATGTTGAATGAAAGCATAATAAGAATAGACTGATCTTTACACGTCTACATTGGCGCAATTGCGCTCATTCGGCAAAGAAACGTGGCATATCCTAGTGACAAAAGTGATAAAAAGTGATAGTAGATACAAATCTGAAATCCCCTGGCGAAACGTGGTCTATACCACTGTTTACAGGTCCGGATACAACATAATCCGTTATAACATAAAACTTGTTATAACGAGTCTTTGTGCTGGCCCCGGGAAGCATCTCCTTCATTATAACATAACTTGTCCAATGGAGAAATAAGAAGTTAGAGTGAGGAACAAAGGGAAGGTCTTCGTGCAGCGTCGTAACATCAAATACCCACAACAATTTCACCAATCTGTATAGGTTACTCAAATGCACAACATCGACAGCTAGTTCAGTCTAGGGTACACCGTATGCACTCAACCACAGTACGCTACCAGCACACTCCAGATGAAGCGGCTATGTCTGCAACGCGTGGGCACGGAAGAGGAAATAGTGTTGTAAGATAAGTTCTTTCCATTGAGGTTTTGTTAGTTGTCGTCTGAGATACGACAATTGTACGTCCGTTCAAATACGGTCCAGTGAACACGCGGAAACAAAAGGAGTGCGTAATAATTCAACGAAGTTTGACGAAAAGGCTGCTGCTGAACGGACCAAAACATACTTTGCTCACCTCAAATAAACGTCTAAGTGACGGAGTCGAGTGCAAACAGAGATCGAGTGAACCAAGCTGCACTTCAAACTGACAAGGACAAATTGTCCTAGCTCTAGGCGCTATGCGCATATGCAGCATGAGGCTTGTGCCAAAAAGTTGTGAGTGTGACACACCTCCGACCTGCACCTGTGATCTACCATGTGTACGGTGGATACCTGAAAGGGGCCATGAAAAGCCAGTGGATAGTGCATAGGTTACGGGTCGGGACGAGCATGAGTCCATGTACGGAGCACTGTGCCCGCGCTGGGTAGAGATAGACTCCCCCGCGGGCACACAACATGGATCGATCGTGGACTTTGTTCGTCAACCAAGGCGAGTATCAGTCCGTTCAGGGGGCCTTGAACTAGAAAATATTGATCCGGGTTTTGTTTTGGGTTGGTCTGTAGGTTTGGATCCATGAAGGAAGCCATCAAATTTGATGTTTCTCAATCAAGACGCAGATCATCAAACTGCATCGTACAGATCTAGTGGGGATGTACGTCGGTCCATCCCGCGTGTCTTACGAATACGAAAACACTATCCATCGGCTTCCTCGCGTACTCGCTGGATTCATGCAGAGCGCCTGCAAATGCGAATGCAATTTGATGATCCTCGACCAGGACACAGATAATCAAACTAGGGATGTACGTCGATCCATCTTAGGTGTCTTGATCAACAGAAGTAACACCAATGGCAGCACGATCATCCATCGGCTTCCTCGCGTACTCGCTGGATTCACGCAGAGCGCCTGAAAAAGGAGAATTATTTTCAGTGCGCTCTGTGTGGATCCGGGTGTGCTGTTGAAAAGGTGAAAAGTAAAATCTTTCTACAGTCCGTTTCAAAAAGATTTGCAATCCTGGCGATCGCCCGCGGAGTTTGGCGTCTTACCGTATGAGCACTCGAGCGCTGCCTGGAAAAACTCACTTTGAACTCGAAGAAATATTCCGCGCGAAAGCAGGAAAAATGACAACTCACTCAGGTTGATACAGTCATGTACGTCTGGTTTACAACAAACGAGTTCTTCCTCGTATCGATAATGGAGTCAGAGAGGACATGTCGAAACAAAAGTGTTGTAAATGTTGACGAGCGGCATGGGTTCCAATTGGTTTTGTGACCAAAATAGTTTCTTTGAGCTGCGATGCAATTTACTCACCGTGTGACGAAAACGACATCGACACGGACTCATTCCCAAGGCCATGACTTGGCAAAGCTATCCGTGTGACTTCGACATTTTGAGAAAAGCAGACGCTTGTGAACGCTGATAGAAGACGGCGTTGACTGCTAAATTCAAATAAATTGGCGATCTTGAAATACTAAAATAAATCTCAAAAAGCTACAGCGCGATGACTTCCATTATAATTCACTCACACCATTGCAGTGTTGTGGGTGTGTTCACATGGCGTGAGCCAGTCAAGTGTCAGTCAGTTCGGCAGGAAGCGCGAGCTCCAACAACAAGTCGTTTGGTGCAGCCATCTTCTTTGTCTTGTACCAGCTTGATCAAAACAATGAAAAAAAGTTTGACTTGAGGATAGGTGGGGATTTGAACTCACAACTTCATGGTCGGTCAGCAGACAGCATTCATAACCATGATAACCACAAGGCCAAAAAGGAAAGGATAAATCGTGGGTTTTGATAAAAAATCTATACTGGTTTCCTGGGCAAATTGTAAACCATGGGAAAAGGCCGGAAACCTGGCCGAAATTCTAACTCCTTAACGGTTGGTCCAATTGTTCCGAAACCTTCACAGAACAATTTGCCGTGTCCTAACAAGCCATTCTATGTACTTTGTTGTCCAAATTTCCCTTATCTTCATACTTTTTAAGACCCAAACCTGATTGTAAATCTTTTTGAAACAGACTATAGTCATAATCGTTTCTAACGTTTGGGAGTGTAGTTGTCCTAAAAGAAGAAATAGAAAAGCCGGTCAGGTGTAGCTCGAGTGGTCATGTCGAAGTCTTCAAGTGCAAAGGCAACGCGAGGTGCGCTTTCTCTCAAAGAGAAATACGAGATCGTGCAGATGCAAGAAAGAGGATTGAAAGCGGCGAGCATCGCTCGTACCGTCCGTCGCCCGGCTTAAACTATCTACACCGTGCTAAAACAAAAGGATGCAATCAAGCGTGCATACCTTGGCGGCGAGCGGTCTTCGTCTGCACAGCGCGTAAGGCAGTCTCGCTGGCCGGAGCTAGATGCAGCTCTGCGAGATGTGCTCGCTCGCGCTAGAGCTGCGAATATGGATGTGACAGATGACATCCTGACGACGGAAGCGGAGAGGCTTGCAAGACAGCTGGGGATTTCTAGCGAGGATTTCTCAGCGAGCCATGGCTTCATAAGTCGCTTCAAGGCACGGCACCAAGTCTCGCTGAGGACGAAAGCTGGAGAGGGGAGAGAAGCTGCAGCTGATCACAACATCGATCAATGGCTCCACGATGTTCTCCCAACATTAATTGAAGGGTATGAACCCAAGAATATTTTCAATGCGGACGAAACGGCATTGTTTTACCGGCTCCTTCCTCATCACACTCTTGCATTCCGCGGAGAGAAGTGCCAGGGCGGGAAGAAAAAGAAGGAGAGGCTGAGTGTATTGTTAGCCGCCAATATGGATGGTTCGGAGAAGCTGGTGCCACTGGTTATTGGGCATTACAAGAACCCAAGGTGCTTCAAGAATGCCAGATCCTTGCCAGTGACGTACAAGCACCCGAAGAACGCATGGATGACAGGGGCATTGTTCAAAGAGTGGCTGATGAATTTCAACCAGGAAATGGCCAAGATGAAACGGAAAGTGCTCCTTTTCTTGGACAACTGCTCGGCCCACTCAGCTGCAACCCTGACTGCGAATTTCTCGCATTTAACAATCCATTAATTCCCTCCGAACTCAACATCCAGGAGCCAGCCGATGGATCAAGGCGTGATTCGCAGCATGAAAGCAGCTTACCGTACCAAGCTTCTGCGGCGCATAGTGGATGCCTTTGATTCCGGCAAACCCACAGATGAGGCAAAGAAGGTCAATGTTCTGGAGGCCATTTTCATGCTGCATACAGCCTGGCAGAGAGTCACGCCCACGACTATAGCAAATTGTTTCCGACATGCCAAGTTTCATGATGAATCGCTTGGCCAGACTGAGTCCTTGGCGAATTCGAACATGCCAAATGGCGACGAAGATGGCCTGCTAGCCATGACTGAAGCATGGGATAGCGTAGCTAACCAGACTCGTGACAAAGAGGATTACTCTTTGCTAGAATATCTTGACATTGACGAGGGCATTGCAACTGAGGCTCCTGCGGCTTTAGACATTGCCCAGCATAGCAACACTGCCGACAACAGTGAGAGTGATAGTGAAGATGACACCGAAGCGCCAGCTGCGAAGCCACCAACTCGGTCAGAGGCGGCAGTCTCTCTTCAAGTTGTGAAGGACTATGTCATGTCGCTGGATGCTGGCGTTGTTGACGACGCCATTTTCAGAGGCATCTCCGACATGGACGACTTGCTCCTGAAACGGGCCATGACCGCGACGCATCAGTCATCTATCCATGCCTTCTTTTTGCCATCCAGTGGAGCAACCAACATACGCAGATCACTCCAGCCACCAACTACCACAGAAGTGAAAGCGAATGCCGGAAAGCACCAGACCCAGGCAGTAAAACCAGCCGCCACCATAAAGACATTCTTTGCTCCCGCGCGGCCTCGTGGAGAGGAGGTAGTGTTCACTGATGTATCCGAGAGTGAAAGTGATTCGCTTTCATGCTGGAGTGACAGCAACATGTCTAGTTCTGATATTGAAGTTGTCACTTGCAGCTAAGAAGAGGATGATAACGACATCATAACACAACGTCCCAGGTCAGCATGCGGAGGTGTTGTAAGCATCCTGACCTCGAGCTCCTCTTCGGAAACAATTTTCACTCCAACAGCATCCGCTACTACGCCCGACCATCCAGCAACGTCATCATCGTCTTCTGAAAGCGACTGTACCCCACCATTTGCTGTTGCGTCATGTACACCCGAATCTACTTCAGTAATGTGTGAGATATGCAAGGTGGCTGACATCAGAAAATGCAGAACATGCACCAAGTGCGCTTTAAGGTACCATCACTGCTGCCAAGTCGATGATGAAGACGCGAAATTCTGCAAGGCATGTTTTGCTGCAGTTTAAGTCTGCCAAAGGACTGATTGTGTCATCCCACCCCCTGCTCTTTCTCACTTGAGTATCTCTCCCACCTCCTTTTGCCCATTTGCCTTTTTCGACCTGGCTCTTGTTGATCCCTCTCACTCACTCTCTCACACTCTCTCACTCACTCTCACTCACTCTCACTCTCTCACTCACTCTCTCGCTCACTCTTAGCGGCTCTCGCACTCTCTCACTCACTCACTCACTCACTCACTCACTGTCTTGCTCACTCTTTCACTCACTCACTCAATCACTCTCTTGTTCACTCTCTCACTCATTCACACTAGATAACTAAATCACTCTCATTCTCTCACGCTCTCACTCACTCTCTCACTCTCTCACGCACTCTTTTGCTCACTCCTAAGCTTCTCTCACTCTCTTGCTCACTCTTTCACTCACACTAGATCACTAAATCTCTCTCATTCTCTCACTCACTATCTCACTCACACTCGCATCACTGGATTACTCTCACTGGGAAGTTCTCTTACACTTTCTCACTCTCTCACTCACTCTCTCACTCACTCTCCCACTCTCTCACTCACTCTCTCACTCACTCTCACACTCCCGCACTAGATCACTCTCATTCTCTCACACTCTCTCTCACTCCCTTTCTTACTTACTCAGTCACTCACTCTCTCTCTCTCTCTCATTCTCTTTTTCCGTCTCTAGCTTTCTCCCTCTCCCACTTTTGCGTTCTCCATCTCGTTCTATGCACGTGTCAATCTTTGAAGAAATTGTGAGAATGCTCTGCTGTGACAAGACTTAGTGCACAATGTACGTTTGAACTCACATTACTTGCCAAATCCAAGATGCTTTTACTGCACTCTTCATTTACTGGCGGGACAATAGAACACATTTCAGTGTTCATCTCATCTCTGTACTTGTACCAAATACGCTATTACACTGCATTGAAACTGTACAGTGTATCTTTATTTTCCGCATCTGATAAACAGCCGGCATGTAGTACTGTATTGAAATTATCTTATAACGAGTTTCAGGATCTAGAAATTATTTTGTATCGAGGGAAACACAGAAAAGTGCATACCAGCGCTTACTGACCATGTTTGGTTGCAAGTCCTGTTACAAGATAAGTCTGGTTATAAGATAACTTTCCTGACGGCCCAGAGATTATCTACTAACGAGGGAGGACCTGTATTCTCTAGCTTCTAGAAGAAGAAGAAAAGAGAAGTCGAAGAAACTGGGATTACTCAAGAATGGGTCTCGAAGAATTCGGAGACCCATGTCAAGCAAAGTGAAGCGCCAAAGGGGCCGCGATCTTGAGTGATTGTATGTGCGTATGCAAAAAGGGAAATGCGTACACTCATGATGAACACGTGGCTTTTAGCCGTACTTCGCATGCGCTGATCCCAAACCGTGGGAATCTCTGAAGCTTGGAGAGCTTGGAGAGCTTTGGAGAGCCTCCTAAAAGTTGGAGAGGATATAAGAAGAGCTCTCGAACTTTTCGGAGAGTCTCCAACTTTTCCGAGAGGATTTAAGAACGCACCCTTGGTTATTGCATGTGCCACAAAAAAATATATATATACTGCGGCTGACTGTACTTGTCCCACAGTGACGTGACAGGGAAAGAAAGACGAAGCGAACTGGCGGACTCAGCAGACCCAAAGGCCCCTGAGGCAATCACTGTCCTGCCAGCCCGTCGCACACAGCCACACCACGCCGCCATGCCCATTATAATATAATGATATCTCCCGCTGCAAAACAGCCACTTGACACATGGAGAGGCCGATGGGGCATTCAGTCCATTCAGGGCTGTTGTGAACCCTCTGGTTCTCTAAAGTGTCAGGAACGAACGACCCCACACGGCACGAGGACAACTATTTATACTCAACATTATCCTTCACTTCCATCGACTAATAATAATGAACAATGAATGACTGAATGAACAACTGAATAACTAACACTAAAACCACCAGGTAGTTATAGCGTTAAAATGACAGCGTATATGAGAAAAGCATACACATACAACATACAACTACAGCGCACACAGCAAACCGCACATAGCGCATGTAGCGTATACTACGTCGTAATCATCAGCGGTACGGCGGAGTCGGGATACAACTGCATTGACACGAACACAATGTCACAAGCGAGAAGGCCTTTCACTCTCGAGAACTTGTGGCTTCACAACATTCTCCCCACCAAAGGGCTTCTCGCCGCCGTACAACAACTCACAAGTCAAACGATTAGGGGAATACTACGCGTCATCTGCTGCTGCGGTGGTGGCCATGGTAGAATATCACTAATGCCCACCAATTCAGAAAACTCGACATCGCGAAGCTTGCCGCTGTGGACTGTCGCACACGACACTGTCACCGATCCACTTCGTCAGTGGTCAGACGTTGGACCAGACAACACACAACCGATAGTGTCATAAAGCTCGACGATGTGGGCTGTCACACACGACATGGTCACGGGTACACTGCTTCGACCCGGGGCGGGCGCGGAATCCGAGGACACACATCGGATCTCTGTGTTCCACACAGTCTCGCCGCTTACTTCTTCCGTGCTAACCAGTATCGCCCTTCTCGTTTCCTTATCTTCTACGCCTTGCGCTTTTATGTCTTGCGCCTCTAACTCTTGCGCCTCTAACTCTTGCGCCGCTAACTCTTGCGCCTCTAACTCTTCCGCCTCTAACTCTTGCGCCTCTAACTCTTGCGCCTCTTGCGCCTCTACGTCTTGCGCCTCCAAGTCTTGCGCCTCCAACTCTTGCGCCTCTACAACTTGCGCCTCTACGCCTTGCGCCTCTACGTCTTGCGCCTCTATGTCTTGCGCTTCTACGTCTTGCGCTTCTTCGTCTTGCGCTTCTACGTCGTTCGGCCGAGACTCCAGCTGCTTCTGAGCGTCTCCCACCGATGGTGCCACGCTCTGTACCGACGCAGTGCGCCTTGGATCTGATCCTGCCACTGGCTTCAAGCACTCTTCAGACCGCTGCTTGTCTGTAAGCAAAGTCTTACACGCCTTGTCCGGCGTCCTTCCGGGCGAGGCAAGCAAATCTCGCTTTGCTTCCTCATAATATGTACTGACGGCGATGCGCTCGGCCATCTTCTTGAGCTTTTCGTTAAACTCTGCGCGGAGCGCACACTCTTGCCGTCTAGCACTGCGCTCTTCAAACTCCTCGCTCTGTCGGAGCCTCTTCTCCAAGTATTCTCTCAACCTATCGCCTTCAAATCCATACCGAATTCCGTTGGCGATAAAGCTGGCTTCGATGATCCATAGTTCCTGTGCCATGCTCGCTTCGTATCCTGGCGTGGTCGCCAAATGTTGTGAACCCTCTGGTTCTCTAAAGTGTCAGGAACGAACCACCCCACACGGCACGAGGACAACTATTTATTCTCAACAATATCTTTCACTTCCATCGACTAATAAATTATGAACAATGAATGACTGAATGAACAACTGAATAACTAACACTAAAACCACCAGGTAGTTATAGCGTTAAAATGACAGCGTATATGAGAAAAGCATACACATACAACATACAACTACAGCGCACACAGCAAACCGCACATAGCGCATGTAGCGTATACTACGTCGTAATCATCAGCGGTACGGCGGAGTCGGGATACAACTGCATTGACACGAACACAATGTCACAAGCGAGAAGGCCTTTCACTCTCGAGAACTTGTGGTTTCACAACAAGGGCTGTGCTGTGCACAATGCTGCTATATGCTAAATG